TCCGCCCCACGCGGGACGGTCACCGCGCGGGACGTGCCTCGCCGACACCGCAGAACCGGCAGCCACTGCGCGACAGCTCATCTGCATTCGCCCCGCCTCCTCTCCCTCTTTTTTACCTATCTCTCCCTCCCTCTCTTTCCCTTCCTTCCCCTTCCCCCCTCCCCCCCCCCCCCCCCCCCCCCCCCCCCCCCGTTCCTCCCCGTTTCCCGGGCTGGCTGTGGGCTTCGTCCACTACTGGGGATCACGCACAGGGGGAATCGTACGTGCCAGGCGAGCAAGTCTTTCTACCGGTTGACCTGCACCCTCAGCCCATAAAACTACTTTCCTTTCACATAGAAGAGCTCGCTACAAGTTCTCAAGCAGAAAAACAATCACTAAATTGACCACGGTGGCTCACCTGGAATCTTAACAGTTGCGAAGTCCTGATTCTTCACGTTCTGTTCATGGCAGTGGGGAGAGGACTGGAGGAGGGCCCGGTTGGCTGGTGTGTGGGCCCGGGGGAAGTCCTCTCAGGCGTGATTGTAACTCTAGGCAGTTTTTACCCGCGGAGCCACCTCGTGCTCGCCCGCCCTCTCACCCCGTCTAACTGACCCCAGACCATTGGCATACGTTAGAGGAGTGATTTCTTTCCTTTTCCTTCCGTCCTTCCTCCCCTTTAATATTCGGCCCCAGGCTAGCCTGGCTCTCAGCTTCTGAGTCATCTTGTGGGGTCTGCAGTTCTGGCCTAGAGTATCGACCCATTTTCCCCAACGGCTTCGGCCCGGGAGAGCATCTGCCAGGAAATAAAAATTTCAAAAGCCCCTGCTCCGAGCCTTCCTCCTCCCCGCTGTTCTACTTGGACAGCAGGTTGAGGTCTGGAGCTCGGACAACCGACTTGAGGCCACAGTTAGGTGGGCTGCTTCACAGCAGTGCAGAGGTTCTTCTGACATACTGGGTGAGAGAAAAAAGTCCTTCCTTTCCGAGGTGCTCACTTTTAGTTACCCCCAGTCAAGGTTAAATAAACCCCAACAGAGAGCTCTTTGCCACCTCTTTATATTTTGCTCGTCCCAAAGGGAAAAGGTGGATTTGGGGGGACATGCTCCACCATACAACTCCGAGTTCAAGGAGTGTCTCGTTCCCTTCCATTCCAAAGCCTGCTTTTCTTTTTTCTGTTTTTAGTTATGTGTTGTGTTTTGAGAAGACTTTTCTCGGAGAGCTGCAACACACACACCTACTTGCCCTGGAGGGGGAACCCACAGCAGACAAAAGTATGGATTCCGTCAAAGTCCAGTTTGGTGGACCAATGAGTTTTCTTGGGGTTACTGAAAAGAATATGGGTGAGAGATCACTTCTTGGCGCAGAAATGACTCGGAGTCAGCCGCATCACCGGAGCCCTCCCCAGCACAGGGGAAAGCTCGCAAACGCTGGGACCCTAATCCAGGGCTCACAACCTGCACACAGCTCAAGCAGGCTGGAGCGTCTCCTCCAGTGTCTCGGTTGATCGACACCTTGTCCAGGCCCCTCGGCCGGGTTCTGCTTCTTCCAGGCTGCTGCTTGGCTCTCAGAGGCTCTTTTGCAGCTAGTTCTTGACAGGGAGGCCTAGTAGGTCTGCTCAGTTTCAGGGAATTCCTGCAGCTATTTTCAGTTGTGTAGTTGTGTACCTCTTGGTTTAAGAAGTTTCCGTCTCTGAGGAAAAGGCTACACAACAATGTACATATACTTGTGTGTTGTGTGCAGGAACTCACAGAGTCCAGGAGACGCTGCCGTGCCGGAGACCCTGGAGCTGGAGTTACAGGCGGCTGTGAGCCACCTAAAGCTGGTGCTGAGAACCCCGTGCTGGTCCCCTGCAAGAGCAGGACGGGCTCCTGGCAGATAAGCCCTCACTCCCGCTCTCAGTAGAAGCGTTTTAAAATCCAACAATCCTAGGTTCTCTCAGTCTGTTTTCTGCACCGGGCTTTCCTTCACTCGGTCTTCAGCCTCACAGGCCGAAGAAGTCAGCAAGTCAGCCCTTCTTCACGCTCGCTGTCTAAGGCCGCGTTGACTGCTCAGCTTCATGTCCTGTGCCTCCTGCCAGGTAGGAAGTCTGCTTCAGGTCTTGGAACGCCACGTGCTTATGGAGACCGCTCGCGCCCCCTCTCCCTCGACTCCAGGATGACAGGTAAATGCTCAGTGTTTGCCCCACAGCAGTGAGTCCAGAGAGGCTGTGTTTGCAGAGCCTGGCAGCCAGCTAGTCAATGACCCGTTCTTCAGACACAGAGTGACCTTCCTGAGTGTGCCTCGGACGTTCTTTTTGCTTTGGGTTTCATTCATTAATCCAATCGTGGGCATGTGTGGGTGCCACGGAGAGCGTGTCCAGGTCAAGGGCCGTCTTCCGGGAGTTGGTTCTCTCCTCCTACCCCATACAGTCTGGGGATCAGACTCAGGTTGTTAGGCTTGGCAGCCGTGACCTTTACCCTGTGAGCCACCTTGCTGCCCCCAAACCATTTGGGGGAGAAGTGGGGATTGGGGTTAGGGGGCAGCATCTATGTAGCCTGATGCTAGCCTGGAACTTGCTGTGTAGACTAGGCTGTCCTCAAACTCAGAGTTGGCACCTGCTGCAGCTGGCATTGAAGCTGTATGCCACCACACCTGGTCTCCCTTGTTTTGCCCAGGCCCGTTTTCCCCTATGGTCTCACCTGACCTTAACCTCACAGCACTGATCCCCACCTCCCCCAGCTGTGAGATTACAGGCAGGCGCCACAGTGCCCAGCTACAGGTTTTATAAACATTATTTTATGTATATGAGTGCTCTATCTGGATGTAGGCCTGCAGGCCAGAAGAGGGCATCATCAGATCCCACTATAGATGGCTGTGAGCCACCATGTGGTTGGTGGGAACTGAACTCAGGACCTCTGGAAGAGTAGCTGGTGCTCTTAACAGCAGAGCCATCATCTACACAGCCCCTAACATGTTATTTTTCAAGGTGTTGGTGACAAACCCTGGCACACTGCCCACTCATTTTGTATGTTATACACCCCTACCCAAGGCCCGGCTGGCTAGTCCTACTGCAGCTGCTATCCACCCCCACCCCACAAGAGGCACTCCAACCACAGACCCAGGGCTTAGGTAAGCACACTTGCTGCCATGGCTGGCAGCCTGGTTGATCCCCATAGTCCACCTGGCATGAGACTGACAGGCACTGGCACTGTACGTAGTGACCCCACGCACTACATACAGGGATTTAAACATACAGTACCTGGCGGTGGTGACTCATGCCTTTAATAACAGCACTTGGGAGGTATCTCTGTGAGTTCAAGGCCAGCCTGATCTACAGAGTGAGTTCCAGGTAAGACAATGCTACACAGAACTGTCTCAAAAAGCCAAGACAGCTAGCTAGCGGTCGGTCTGTCAATCAATCATCTGCCGGAGAGATGTTTTGGTGACCGAGTGACAACTCGTTCTTCCCTCAGACCTCCGTTCCCTTCTCAGTACCCACAAGGCTCCACTTCTGAGGGACCCCATGCCCTCTTCTCCCCCAGCTCACCCCTTCTCTGGTATTCCACACATGTGGGACACACAGTGGTCATAGAAAAGCATCCCTAAGCAGTAAATCTAAAATTTCTTTTTTTAAATATTTATTTGTTATGTATACAATATTCTGTGTGTATGCCTGCAGGCCAGAACAGGGCACCAGACCTCATCACAGATGGCCGTGAGCCACCATGTGGTTGCCGGGAACTGAACCCAGGACCTCTGGAAGAGCAGGCAATGCTCTTAACCACTGAGCCATCTCTCCAGCCCCTAAAATTTCTTTCCAAAATATAAAAGGACAGGTTGGGTGGTGGTGTACACCTTTAATCCCAGCACTCAGGAGACAGGCAGGTGGATCTCTGTGAGTTCGAGGACAGCCTGGTCTACGAGAGCTAGTTCCAAGACAACCAGAACTGTTAAACAGAGAAAACCGGTCTCGAAAAACCACACCAGAGGAAGGCGTGCACTCTACTTCTCTCCCCTCAAAGAGACCACTTTGATAAAACACAATAAGCAACACAGCCCTCTGCCGCCCCTCTATTTACACAGCACCTTCACGTTTCCAAAGCATGGAACCATCATTTATTAACCCTCACAACACCCCTGTGAGGTAGGTCAACATGTCCTTTATAGCAGAGAACGGAGGCAGAAGTCAAACCGGACTGGGCAGCTGGGGAGGGAGGGCCGGACCAAGTCCAGAAGCAGGGGCTCCTGGGCCTGCACTCACCCATGGCGGCCATCGCCTGGGTGTATTTCTACCATTGAAAGGTCACAAACAGGAAGGATGGAAAGGATCTCTCGGCCAACAACAGGAAACCGACGCTGAACAGGACAGGGAAGTCTCAGTCAGAGAGGGAGAGGACACGGACCAGCGCACCAGCGCACGAGGAGGCGAGGCGAGAGAACATGCACCGAGAAAGGCTGGTTGGGTGGGTGGGGGTCAGGGCAACTGCCTGCGAGGGGACCTGCAACCTTCGGGACGGCTTGGAAAATTGTAAACAAACTAGGAATCTGTTCCACGGGTGACCAGCTCAAATCCTCGTGGCTTCCCAAATAGGGGAGGACTTGGAAAAAGACAGGAAGTCCATTCGCCCTAACTTTAGGCTGGGAACGAGGCTCACGTCTGCCCCCATGGAAAAGACCGGGCACGCCTGACACGGGTCCACTGGCCCTCGGCATCCCAGCTGCATACTTTCGTCCCAGGGAATCCACTTCCCTCCCCATACTCAAGAGCTCTTTCTGCTAGCAGAATGCTTTCCCTCCGTGCCAGGATAGGCTGCCATGGAGGGGTTTGGTTGACAGATGTCTCCCAGCCAACTGCTGAGCTAGGGATGGGAGCCAGTGAACTATGATGCTCCTGCATTTAGGAAATGCCAATTGTCTGCCTCTGTCCAGCTGCCCCTTCTGTTTAGTGCACCCAGAAGACCAGGTCGCCCTATGGTAAAGCATTCGGTGAACGTGGTTCAATTGGCCATTTCAAAAGAAATCAGGTGAGGAAAACAAAAACCCTGCACTGTAAAGCATAACACTGGAGTAGATTTATTATCGCTACCCCAAATTCCAGAGCGATACAAGAAGCACAGAGTTAAAACGCCACTGGTATCGCTGGGCATTTCACAATATTGGTTTAGTCCACAAATTTAAGGCAAACATACTAGCGCATCTGCTTTTCTTCAGAGATCATACTTATAAAGCTCACAGAAACTGACCCAAAACGTCTACGTTCATTAATTCAAAGTAAGTCTCATTAAATGTTTTACATAGATACATGAAAGAACTCAGGGCACAAGGTGCTTAAAAAAAAAAAAAAAAAAAAAACAGAAGGCAACCTTTATCTTGTGTGATCAAGGGACTCTTGAGAATGTTAAAACTGGACAAGTGATTCCAAGGTAAGGAGGACACAAACACAGTGAAGACAGGCTACTTAAAGAAAAAAGAGAGTTAAACTTTGGGCTTCTTGGAAGGTCAAGTGCGGGGTGACAGGCCACTGCCCTGAGGCCAGTGAGCCCTGCTGCTCCACTGTCTCTCAGAAGAAGAGTTGATGCACCTCGCCAGCTGTTCCTGTTGTTCCCAGTGAGCTTAGATGCCAGAGTCATCAAGAAATCAAAGGAGATTTGAAGGCAGCCCTTTTCAGCAGAAGGCAGAGTGTGGCCTATGTATCTCCATTTAAAACTGCAAGGCAGTTCTGCAGCAACTGGAGGTTGCCCTAGAAGGGAGGAAATGAAATTAACCATCAATTTCTTTAGTCCCAATAACTTGAAAGAGTCGTCATAAATACTTTTTATAGTTGTGATATGAATGGGTGTTCTGCCTGCACGTATGTCTGGGCACCACAGGTTTACCCGCTGCCATCAGAGGCACCTCTGAGCAAACAAGAAAGAAAAATGAAACTGTATTCTGGTGTCAGAATTCTAGAAATACTTTTCTTGTTTGTTGTTCCAGACAAGGTTTCTCTGAGTAGTTTTGGAATTGTTCCTGGAACTCGCTCTTGTAGACCAGGCTGGTCTCGAACTCACAGAGATCCGCCTGCCTCTGCCTTCCTAGTTCTGGGATTAAAGGTGTGTGCCATCATCGTCCAGCTAGAAACACTCTATGACAGTTTAAAGACACAGAATACCAGCTTTTTCACCAAATAAATTTCTACTTAGACTAGTATTAATGGTTTACATAATCTGAATTAAAAAAAAAGGGGGGGGAGGGGCTTAGCCAGAACTGCATAGAGACCCTGCCACAACTCCCCCACACCTAACTGCAGTGGTCTGAAGAATGACTCCCATGGACTCATATTTGAATAGGGAGTGGCATTAGGAGTTTCAAATGCCCAGGCCCAATGGCTCTCTCTGCTGCCTCAGATGCAGATACAGAACTCTTGGCTGCCTCTCCGGCACCACGTCTGACTGCCCAAAGCCATGGGTTATGCTTTTGATGACAACGGACTAAAGAAATCTCTATAGGGGGCTGGAGAGATGGCTCAGTGGTTAAGAGCATTGCCTGCTCTTCCAAAGGTCCTGAGTTCAATTCCCAGCAACCACATGGTGGCTCACAACCATCTGGAATGAGGTCTGGTGCCCTCTTCTGGCCTGCAGACATACACACATTGTATACTAAATAAATAAATTAAAAAAAAAAAATCTCTATATACCAGCCCCAATTACATGTTTTCCTTTACAAGTGCTGCTGTGGTCACGGATCTCTTCATAGCAATAGAACACCAACTAAGAAATCTTTCAAAGCCGGGTGGTGGTGGTGCACACCTTTAGTTCAGCACTTGGGAGGCAGAGGCAAGCAGATCTCTGTGAGTTCAAGGCTGGCCTGGTCTACAAGAACTAGTTCCAGGACAGCCAAGGCCACACAAAGAAACCCAGGCTCAAAAAGCCAAAAACAAACCATAAACCACCACCTCCACAAAAAAAAAAAAAAAAAAAAAAAAAAACCCTTAAACAAACAAAAAGATGTTTTTATATGTGTGTATGTTGGAGGGCAGTGTACACCACGCACACCCAAGTGTGTATTTATACCCAAAAAGGTTGTCCTATCTTTTGGATGAGGAGTTAAGATGATCATGAGCTATCTCATATAGGTACTGAGAACCAAACTCCAGTCCTGGAAGGGCAGCAAGTGATCTTAACAGCTGTGTCAGCCCCCCAGATCCTCGGTTATCAGCTGGCCTTGAACTTGTGACCCTGTCTCTTCTTCTTCCGTGCTACAGGTAGTGTTTTTTTTTTTCATTATTCTGTGTATTTATGCATGGGTATTTGTGTCTTGAATACCTGTGGAGGTCACAGAACAACCTCCCAAGAGGATGAAGCAGGAAGGTCACTGAGTTCAAGGTCAGCCTCATCTTAATGAGTTTAGCCCAGTGTGAAGAGGGAGAAGCTGCCTCAGCAACAGCAAACAACCAACCTAATTCCCATTCTGTCAGGAGTGACAGAGTGCTGGGAAGCACACACAGAACCCCACACACAGTCCAGTACTCAAATAACAACCCCCCAAAAAAAAGGCCAGTGTGAGGGCCAATCATGTAAGAGCACTTACTGCATGAGCAGAAGCCCCAAGTTCAATCTGCAAATTTATACAAGGGGAGAAGCAAAATCCCAAAGGTGTCCTCTGACCTCTATAGGTCGGTCTCTCTCTCTCTCTCTCTCTCTCTCTCTCTCTCTCTCTCTCTCTCTCACACACACACACACACACACACAGAAACCAAGGACAGTTGTGTCAATCTCCCGTAGGAGATTGATCTAAGGATGAGCATCTATTTTATAACTGACTCAGTTGAAAATTTAAATGATTAAATATTTAACAATACCTTTGCATGCTTTAGTTCTAGTTCTGCAAGCTCCACTAAATTTTTTCTGAATGCAGCAACTCTTCTTGTCTTAAAATCTATCAGTTCTGTGAACAGAAACACAAGAATCAGCATGACACCATCACAATGTGTGGCTTGCACGAAATGCGCATCAACAGTACCTTGTTTTGCAGATTCAGATATTTTTTCAAACTTCTGACAGCACAACTGTTGGGACGTTTCCGCCTGTAGGACATCTTTGTTTTTTGCTCTTGCCTTGTCCAGTGCTTTATTGGCATTTTCGTAGTCCACCAGTGACCTCGACCTTCTGTAGAGGAGGTCCTGCAAAACAGAACATTGCAGTCAGATGAAACCAGCAGGAACTTTAACTGTTCTGGGGCATGAACCAGGGTCTCTCGTCCTTATATAGGGGTCACGCTAATCTGACTATTTCAGTTTTAGTATATGCGCTGAAAAGATATTTATTCCAACCACATTTTATAATAAAGCCTCCAGAAGTGAATAACTAGGCCAGAGATAAGTTGTAGAACAAACGCAAGAACCAGGCTCATACCAGCACGGTGGTGGTACCCTTCCTTCCTTCCTTCCTTCCTTCCTTCCTTCCTTCCTTCCTTCCTTCTTTCTTTCTTTCTTTCTTTCTTTCTCTTTCCTAAGACAGGGTTTGCCTGTGTAGCCTTAGCTGTCCTGGAATGCACCCTAAAGACCAGACTGGCCTCGAACTCACAGAGATCCACTTGTCTCCTTACACCGAGCCTGGCTCTGAAAAAAGGAATTCCCTGTACCATTTCTTTTTGAGACAAGGTCTCACAGCGCAACCCAAGCTAGGCCACCTTATTTCTCCTCCCTGGGATCTCAGCCGGCACACAGCACCACACACATCTTGAAAATCTACTAATCCCAGAATCCACTCTCATAACCTTACATCCAATAACCTCTGCAAACGAACCAGTTACCTTAGCTGCTTGAGACTCCCGTAAGTAGTACTTCAGCAGGTCAGACAGCTTGAGGTCCTCGTCAGCAGACACCCGGGCCTCTATTTTCTAAAAAGGGGAAATGGCATTAAATCATGCTACACTCTGCTCTAAATAAAAAATATTTTTAATGCATAGAGATGTTGAGGAACTATAGATCCTGCTGTGCTTTATCTGGGCATCTTTCAAAATTCCAAAAGGAAATGAACAGAAAAATCATGAATTTATGAAAAATATCTACACTTGGAAACTTGGCTTCCTTAACATACTGGAATGGCAACTGACAGGTGCTCACCAACAGACGAAGGAATTCGAGGAGATGGAAGGGAAGAGAACTCTGCCAGGTTGTGGTGGCGCATGCCTTTAATCCCAGCACTCGGGAGGTAGAGGCAGGCAGATCTCTGAATTCAAAGCCAGCCTGAAATCCTGCCTCAAAGAACAAAACAAAACCCAAAAAAACAACAAAACAAAAAAAGAGGATAAAGGGTAATGTTTTTGAGAAAATGTCTCACTATATAGCCAGGAGAGCCTAGAACTCATGATTCTCCTGCTCCAACCTTCAAGTGCTTAGATTACAGGCATGTTCCACCACATGTGGCTTAGATAATTTGGAGGGAATTTGGAGGGGGTGTTTATGTTTAAATATTATTAATGTATATTTTAGTGAGTGCATTATTAAGTGTGTGTGGATGCACATGCGATGACATACAGAGGTCAGAGAGCAACATTTGTGAGTTTGCTTCCTGCTTTCAACTTTGCATGGGTCTCAGGAATCTTGGAAAGCCTCTAGATACTGAGCCACCTTCACCAGCCCCTCCCAGTTCTCTTTTTGAGACAGTGTTCACTATACACTCAACTTGCTGATTCCTGAGCGATAGGATTAAATGTGTGCCACCACATTTGACCTGAGAGATGTTTTTTGTTTATTTGTTTGAATTTATTTATTATACAGTGTTCTGCCTTCGTGTATGCCTGCACACATATCCCAGAAGAGGGCACCAGATCTCATTACAGATGGTTGTGAGCTACCACGTAGTTGCTGGGACTTGACCTCTGAACCTTTGGAAGAGCAGGTAGTAAGTACTCTTAACTGCTGAGCCATGGCTCCAGCCAATTAGTTAAATTCGATAAGAAACTAAATGTGTTTCCTGACTTGTCAGACCACAGAAGTAAGACACTTACTTAAAAATCAGTGGAGAAATCTGTATTTGGTTACATTAAGAAAGACAATCAGGGTTTCTCTGTATAGCCCTGTGCTGGGAGCCGATTTGAATGGCTGCCATTACAAGATGGCATTTGGCCCCGGCCTCACTTGATAAATAACTCCATATTAAGGTTGCAGTTCTTCCACCAGAAAACAGGGTGAGTTGTTGTGATCTAGCTGCCCACACTCCCTGACCGGCAGGGGAACTTCCTTGTTGTCTGTAATTGACAAGGAGGTTTGTTTTCTTTGGGGGGGGGGGGGGGGTCTCCAGAAAAGCAGTTGAAGTATCAAAGGTTGCTAGGCAGACTCCCTATATAAGCAGCTACAGCTCAGAGCTCCGGGCCCCTTGCTCTCTGCTCTCCCTATAACCAAGAGGCTCCAATAAAGCGTGATTTGGGAAGAATCCTCATCTGGTGGCTGTTCCTTCCTGCTGGTCAGGGAATTCGCTGCAGCCCTGTCTATCATGGAACTTACTTTGTAGACTAGGCTGGTCTCAAACTTAAGAGATTTGTCTACCTCTGTCTTCCAAGTGCTGGAGTTAGAGGTGAGCCACCACTGCCTGGCTTTTCCTTTCTTCTTTTTTTCCTTTTCATTTTAGTATTAGCTATACATATTAAAAAAAAGTTATCCTTAAAAAAAGAACTGAGGGGCTGGAGAGATGGCTCAGTGGTTAAGAGCATTGCCTGCTCTTCCAAAGGTCCTGAGTTCAATTCCCAGCAACCACATGGTGGCTCACAACCATCTGTAATGGGGTCTGGTGCCCTCTTCTGGCATACACAAGACAGAATATTGTATACATAATAAATAAATAAATATTAAAAAAAAAAGAACTGAGATGCATACAAGGACACAACACAGATGAACTTGAACATTAGGAAGAAAAAGTTGTAACCTACAGAAAAAATGTTCATTTTCAGGGAAACTTGGTGATATTTACGTAACTTTTCTACTGTTCTATATTCTTTTCTCTAAATCCATACTAGGTCACGTATAGTGGTACACACTTACAAGCCAGAATTTAAGAGGTGGAAAATTTGGCAATAAAGAGTTCAAGGCTGGGGCTGGAGAGATGGCTCAGAGGTTAAGAGCACTGGCTGCTCTTCCAGAGGTCCTGAGTTCAATTCCCAGCAACCACATGGTGGTGGCTCACAGGCACCTATAATGAGATCTGGTGCCCTCTTCTGACATACAAACATACATGGAAGGAATGTTGTATACATAATAAATAAATAAATCTTTAAAAAAAAAAGTTCAAGGCTATCTTGAGCTAGACCCTGACTCAAAAATAAATAATTAAAATTGTTTGTTTTTTCTTTTCGGATTTTTAAGACAGGGTTTCCCAGTAGCTATGCAGTAAGTCCGGGAACTCACTCTATAGACCAGGCTGGCCTCGAACTCAAGAGATCAGCCTGCTTCTGTCTGCCAAATGCTAGGATTAAAGGAGTGTGCCACCATGGCCTGGCTGTTTGTTTTTTCTTTTTCTTTTTTTTTGGTTTTTCGAGACAGGGTTTCTCTGTGGTTTTGGAGCCTGTCCTGGAACTAGCTCTTGTATACCAGGCTGGTCTCGAACTCACAGAGATCCGCCTGCCTCTTGTTTGTTTTTTCTTAAAGACATGCTCACTGAGTAGCTAAAACACAGGTTAAAAAAAAACACAAGTTGGAGCTGGAAAGATGGCTCAGAGGTTAAGAGCGCTGTCTGCTCTTTCAGAGGACCTAGGATCAATTCCCAGCATCCACATGGCAGCTCACAACTGTCTGTAATTCCAGTGGGGACCCCACACCCACGGCAAACACCAATGCACTTAAAAAATATATCAATAAGTGATAAACTTCTAAAAAAATTAAAAACAAAACAAAATACACCAAGTGTGAGCAAACTGAATGTTCTCGTTCATTCTAGTGGGAGCAAAATGTGGTACTAATTGTGCCACAGTGCTAATGCTAAAGGTCAGAGGTCAGCCTTTAGAAGTTGGTTCTCTTCTTCTACCATGTAGGTTCTAAGGATCAAACTCAGGTCATGACAGCAAAGGCCTTTAACCCCTGAGCCACCTCACTGGTTCTAATTAAAAAAAAAAAAAAGGGGGGGGGGATAGGTCATACTATGTAGGTTCAGTCTTGAAATCAGAATCCTCCTGCTTCAGCTTTCTGACTGCTAGGATACTGGTGTGACATGTCATTTTATCTGTGTCACGAGGCGTGTGTGCGGCACTGTTTCAGGGAACAATACAACCCTGCTAACACAAGCACACCTCTGTGCAGCAGTCCTCGAGCTCACACTTACTCTGGTTTTATCAAACAGTTCTGAAACTTTGAGGAAAAACCTGCAAGGGAAAAATACTGTCATCAGAAGCAGCATCTGATGCATTTTCCACCTTAATAATAACAATAACCCCAAACCATATTAATGAAGGACATTCCTGTTTCATCACAGAAGGCACCCAATGATCTTGTTAACCAAAGACGTCAAGGTTGAAACCGCTTATTTAAAGTCCCCAGAATATTACTATTTTGATTCCCTAGAATCCATATGGTGTCAGGAGAGAACAGACTCCCACAAGCTGTTCTCTGATCGCTACACTCACACGGTTACACGTGCGCCCCATGCCAAATAAATAAATAGCCAGGCCTGGACGCACACCTTTAATCCCAACACTCAGGAGACAGAGGCAGGTGGATCTCTGTGAGTTCCATTCCAGCCTGATCTACAAAGACAATTAACCAGAGATATAGTGAGATACAGGCATACACACAGAGTTTAATGTTATTTTTTTTTTAAAGAGCAGTTAAAGGAAAACACTTAAGATGGAACAGTTCTTAGGCTAGTCTGATAATACTGCTGGTCATTAAAATTGAGCCCAGGGTCTCATGCGTGCTAGCTAAGGGTTCTACCACCAAGCTACAGTCCCAGTTTAAACATTTCCAGATATAGCAAATTTGTTCTGAAAACAAAAATGAATAACCAATTGCTACCTCAGAATTCACATTCAGATACACAGAGTGGCAAGTCTCCTATCAGTTTTAAAACACTCCAGGCTGAGCCAGTAGGCTCACACCTTTGATCCCAGCACTCAGGGGGCAGAAGCAGGCAGTTAGTTCTCTGTGACTTGAAGGCCAGCAAGAGTTACACAGAAAGATTCATCTCAATAAAAAGAGGGTGGAGTGGAAGGGGCCTGGAGCAGATGGCTCAGCAGTTAAGAGCCTTGCTACTGTTCCAGAGGACCTGAGTTCTGTTTACAGCACCCATGTCAGGCAACTCACAATAACCTGTAACTCCAGCCCTAGACATATTATTTGGCCTTCAAGGGCACTATCCATTTCATACATTCACACAGACACACATACATACAAATGAAAAGAAAAATATGTATGTAGATATATAGAGTATACAAAGAATACATACATACATACTCCTGATTTTTTTTTTTTCTTTTTTGAGGCAGGGTTTCTCTAGCTTTGGAGCCTGTCCTGGTTCTTGTAGACCAGGCTGGCTTCGAACTCACAGAGATCCATCTGCCTCTGCTTCCCGAGTGCTGGGATTAAAGGCGTGCGCCACCACCTGCCGGCACACATATAAAATTTTAAATTTATACATGGGTATGCTGTGGAGTATGCCATGTATGTGCAGGAGAGGGTGTTGGATCTCCTGGAACTCGAAATACAGGTGGTTGTGCTGGAACCAAACTGAGCCATTTCTCCAATTCCAAGATTAATTTTCTTCCTTCTCTTTTGTTTTTATGAGACAGGGTCTTACTATGTAGTCTAGGCTGGCCTAAACTCGAAACTGTTCTGCCTTAGCCTCCCAGGCCCTGGGATGAGAAGTATATCACATCTGCCCTAAGTGTCATGTATACCAGACTAATTTTAGCCTAAATTACATGATCTGCTCTGATATACATCCCGTGCATACACACACACACACAAAATAAATAGAAATTTTTGTTGTTGCTTAATAGTCAACTGGAATGTTAGGGATGGGGATGTGTGCCTGTAAATTCCAGCAGCCAACATTCAGGTGGCAGGGGCAGGAGAATCCAGAGACCTCCTTCATTCTTGGCTACATAGCAAGTTTGTAGCCTGTTTGACCTTGTGACAAAGTGGGGGGTAGGGGCAGCTTGAGGGAGCAATTGGCTCAGTGGTAGACTAATTGAAAAAAAGTTTAATTTGACTTCCAATGAAATATATAACAAATCTGTGAAATGTTCAATATTTATTTATAGGCAAGGTTTCACTATGTAGCCATGGCTGAACTAGAACTAATTAAGTAGATCAGGCTAGCCTCAAACTCACATCTATCTGCCTGCCTTTGCTTCCTAGCTGCTGGGATTAAAGGCGTGTACTACCATGCCCAGCCTGAAGTGTTGAATTATTTTAGAATAATAACTAGAGAATGAGAAGGCAAAAAAGAAATCAACCATTTATTATAATAAAAAACCCAGTTTATCACAAATGGGTCAATAAAAATATCCTAAAATATGTACGTAAATTACAGCACCATTTCCTTCTTCCTCTGCTTTACTTATATTCATGTTTTAACTATAGTCCTTACTTGCATATATCTGTAGAGTCCTGAGTTCCTAAAGCATATAATGAAGACCCAATTCTATTGTAATCATCAGCAGCACCTATGGAGAAAGTTTTAAGAATTAAAAATCAAGTTTTAGTAATATATTAACTTGTTGATTTAAAAATACTTATTGATTATCTATCTGCAAAAGTAATATAAGATACCTTAGTAAAGAAAATAATACAAGCAGCTGTAATGCGGTGTGACGGATAAATCAGACATGTAAGAACTGCTTTAGAAGGGTGTAATGCTGCCTAAGGGAGACGACTCCGGAAACAAAGAACGAACTGAAGTGACCAGGAGGAACAGACCTTTACCAGGTTAAGAGCGGGCACACAGGTGTCTGGAAAGCTCACAGGCACAAGGGGAACAGCACACTCAGAGCAGGTGGGACTCAGTGCCGTGAGAGACAAAGGCGGGTGGATGAAGTGAAGACAGAAAAACTGGAAATATTTTGGAAGTCAAGGTCTTGCAAACCAAAAGAGTTTGGGTTTCTGGAATAGATATCACTAAATATTTAAGTCATAAGGTGGCAAAATCAACCTAAAAAGGATTTTAGAGCTCCTTACCTCTCCCCACCCCAAAATCTGCTACCCACAGTCTAAAAGCGGAAAGGCAGAAAAGGCACAGTGACAACCAAGAAACTGCTACAAGAATCTGGTCACAGATACTGGCAAAGCTGTAGGGCACTGAGGTCCGACAGGTGGGAATGCTGAACAGACTTGCTATACATAGGGACACAAACGACAGCCCCTCTGTTGAGAATGTTATTTAAGTTGTGGGACTTTCATTTATGTTGCATTTGTTTAACTCTGTGAAGCTGTGATTCTTTGCCTGTCTCGAACATCTGATGGTCTAATAAAGATCTGACCGGTCAATAGCGAGGCAGGAGCAAGGACAGGAAGGCTGGCAGGCAGAGAGAACATATGTAAGGAGAAAACAGAAGGGGTTTGATGAAGTAGCCAGGAAGGAGGAGGACATTAGGGGCCAGTTATCCAGCTACACAGCAATCCACCACTAAGATTTACAGAAGTAAGAGAATGGGAAAGCACAGAGGTAAAAGGTAGATAGGATACTCTAAAGCAGTCAAGAAACAAGCCAAAATAAGGCCAAATGTTTATAACTAAGAATAAGACTCCGTATGTGATTCATTTGGGAACTGGGTAGCGGGGGCCCCCAAAGAGTCAAAAGAGTAAAACACCACACAACACCCCTTTACTCAGATGCTACTGGGCAAAGTCTCAGGATTTACCCACAGGCAGCTCACTTACTGAGGGAGGACTACAGTAAGTACTTCTTTCAGTTCAGAATGAAAGGAACAGAGTGCAATGTGCAGTAATCCTTAAAACCTTGGGTATGTCACTTGTCCTAGCAGCCTGTTGTAGAAATGAATAATACATCATAATTTATGTGGATTAAATGAGTTATTAAATATTATGAAGTATCTGCACTATAAATATATCTATATTAGAACACAGTACAAAGTAGTTACCATATACACTCTAAGATACTTGTCTGGAAATATAGTAGCAATATTTTCACCAGTATCTGTCTGTCTCTCTTTTGGTTTTTCTTTTTTTCCAAAACAAAGTTTCTCTTTAAAAACTTATAAACTTGGGGCTGGAGAGATGGCTCAGAGGTTAAGAGCATTGCCTGCTCTTCCAAAGGTCCTGAGTTCAATTCCCAGCAACCACATGGTGGCTCACAACCATCTGTAATGAGGTCTGGTGCCCTCTTCTGGCCTGCAGGCATACAGACAGAATATTGTATACATAATAAATAAATATATTAAAAAAAACTTATAAACTTTACTATTATTTGAATGTTTGTGGTGTGTGTGTGTCTGAGTATGGGCACAGGCATGCTATAGCACAAGTGTGCAGGCCAGAGGGCATCTTTGTGGAGTCAATTCTCTTCTTTCCTTATGTGAATTCTAGGACCGAACTGAAGTCATCATGCTTGTACAACAAACATCTTTCTTTACCCACTGAGCTATCCTATCTCTCTTGAAATGGAATTATAAGTATATACCAACAAAACCAGAAGACACATCATAAAAGGGTCTTGGGGGCAGCTGAGGTAGGAGGCTTACAAGTTCAAGACCAGACTGAATCAAAGCATGTGTTGGGGGCCAGGATTGTAGCTCAACTGGGTGTATGTTAGCTTAGCATCCACAAAGTATGAGTTTGCTGAGTGTCACAGGCCACAATTTAAGAACCACTATTCCAAATTCAGATTTTTAAAAACTGTAAGAAATGCCAGTCGGTGGTGGCACATCTTTAATCCCAGCACTTGGGAAGCAGAGGCAAGTGGATCTCCGTGAGTTCAAGGTCAGCCTGGTTTTTATACAAAGCGAGTTCTAGGACAGCCAGGACTATTATGCAGAGAAACCCTGTTTTGAAAAGACAAAACAAAAACTGTAACATGTCTGCTTTACAATTATCTCCACTAAAACGTGTGTGTGTGTGTGTGTGTGTATGAGGATGGCTACTCACTCAGTGGTTAACTGAGGAACTTTACTAGGTGGATAAGAGCATCTGTTGTTCTTGTAGAGGACCTGGGTTTGGTTCCCAGCACCCACATGGTGGCTCACAACCACCTGTAACTCCAGCTCCAGAGGATCTGATGCCATCTTTCTGGTCTCCGTGGTGCACACACAGATGCTGAGGCACACACACAAATACACATAAACAAATCCTTTCATTTGTTTGCTTCTTCAAGACAGGGTATCTCTATAAAGCTCTGGCTGTCCTGGAACTCACTCTGTCGACCAGGCTGGCCTCGAACTCTGAGGATCTGCCTGCCCTGTCTTCAGAGCGCTGGGATTAAAGACGTGTGCCACCATGTTCAACAAAACAAACAAATCTTTAAAAAAAAGTTTTACCACAGAGTCTTACTTTTGTGAGATCTTGTCATCCTGTCAGATTTGGCAGATGCATCCTTAACTCGGTTATGATATTCTAAAAGGAATGTTCGTTCATGCTCAAAGAAGTCGTCTACGTCCTGCAGGATGAGGAAAGAGCTAGCTTTACACACACACATGCTCTAATGGAACAGGATGCCTTGTCATCATTACAGAAACCTCATCAGGAAAGAGTGCAGCCATCTCTAGCACCCAGGCCTTCCACCGATCTCATCCACACAGGAAGACTAACAGACAGCTGAAGGCTCGAGCGTCCTGTGTGCTTGTCCTGAAACAGGCACTGCCTGTGCTCTGCTGCTACAGACATTGCCAGGAGAGAGCAAATGGCTTCTGAAGAAAAGGAAGAAACATTCTGGTAATGAAAAACCCACTTTTCCTGGTGTATTATGCATTACAGGGGCCACCTGGCCTAACTAACTGCTTAGATGAACTCAGCCAAATGAGCCATTTGGGAGCAATGATATAATTAAACACCATTTCAATCTTTTTTTATTTTAAACATTTATTTTTATTTTATATGTATTAGTGTTTTTGCTTGCATGTATGTCTACATACTACCTGAGTACCTAGAGCCCATAGGACAGAAGAAGGGCATTTGATTCCCTGGAACTGACCACATGAATACTGGGGATCAAACTTAGGTCCTCTGGAAGAGCCGTCAGTGGTCTTAACCTCTGAACGAACCATTTCTCCAACCCTCAATCTCTTGAAATTAAGCTAGAAATACATTTTAAATTTTTAAAAATTCGCTAATAGTGCTTTCTAGGAACTGTTCTTTAAAAATGTTACTGACAGCCAGGCGATGTTGGTGCATGCCTTTAATCCCAGCACTCAGGAGGCAGAGGCAGGCGGATCTCTGTGAGGTCTACAAGAGCTAGTTCTAGGACAGGCTCCGAAGCTACAGAGAAACCCTGTCTTGTAAAACCACACACAAAAAAGGAAGTATTACTGACATAATTTAGAATTTACAGCATGGATTCTGAGCAGCAGAATCTGCACTAAAAAAGTGTATTTAACCATCATCCAAATTGTGTCTGTTTTTTAACCATAAAAATTGGGAACATATATATCTAATGCAGACTGTAATCAAAATTACACATGCTAAAAATGTCCGTTGATGAAAATCAGAACTAACAGTGGCTTACATTTACTAGCTAAGAAAGTGTTAACTATGGGAAAGGAAGACTGAGTTGTTACTGGAGAGCACACGGCTCCTGGACTGTCAACACAGCTCAGAGTCTAAGTCAGACTGCACACAAGCCTTCCTGCAGGTGTGAGAGCAGGTAGTAACAATGAAACAGGAGCACTAGTTACTCGCCTTTCTTAATATTTGCTGATATTATAAAGTTTACTGAAAAAAGGTAAATTCTCATACCATTTAAAATAAATCAAGGAAAAAAGTTACTACTTCGTATCTATTAAAATATTTTCATATTATCTTATTCCATCTTTCCTACAATCCTGTGAACCAAGTGATATTACTTAATTTTGAAGATGGAAAAACAGTTTTACCCAAGATCATGCCTTTACCTGAAGACACTACCAAAACCTCAGCTGAGATCTGACTAAAGTCAATCCCGAGATCTGCCCCAACATTTACAAGCAAGAGCAAGCGCTCAGAGGCAGCCCACCCTCAGTTGAAGGCCACCCTACAGACACTGCCCCTCAGCCCTCTCCTCTGCCCAGCTGTTTCACAGTCTGACCGGCTGTAAAACACACCAGGCAGCCAGGTGTGGAGCACACATCTTTAGTCCTAGAATTTGAGACGCACAGGCGGGTGCCTCTCTGTGAGTTCTGGGCCAACCAGGGCCACACAGTGAAACAAAAACAAAAGTATGTACTTCCAACTAGCGCTGATAAATTTCACCTTTACTCCTGAAACAATGACTCCATCCGCTGATTTAACCATGTTTTTAAAGAAATCCTCAAGCTTTTCTTTTTTATTTTTTCCTCGAACACTTAACTGGAAAAAAGAAAAAAGAGGGAGAATTGAAGTTAGCATTTCTGGAAGCTTCAAACAGCAACACCTCTTTTATTCTTAGACATTTAAATAAGATAGATTTTTTTGTTTGTTTGTTTGTTTTTTTCTTTTTTCGAGACAGGGTTTCTCTGTAGCTTTGGAGCCTGTCCTAGAACTAGCTCTTGTAGCTCAGGCTGGCCTCAAATTTACAGAGATCCACCTGCCTCTGCCTCCTGAGTGCTGAGATTAAAGGCATGCGCCACCACCACCCGGCTTAAATAGAAATCTTAAAGGACGTCAATTTCTAAACCCTTTGGGTTTTCTTGAGACAGGGTTTCTCTGGGTAGCCTTGGCTGTTTGGGAACTTGCTCTGTAGACCAGGCTGACATTGAACTCAGAGACACAGAGCTCTGCCTGCTTGAGTGCTAGCATTAAGGCATGCGCTACCACGCCTGGAAAAGTAGCAATCTCTGTGTGTATCTGTAGGAGTGTCAACCATGGTGGCACATAACTGGTCACTTAGCTGCACAGCAAGTTTGAGTGCAGCCTGGATTACACAAGACTGCTTTTTCTTTTAAATTTTAAAGTAAATAAAAGAGGAAATTGGTAGAACTCAAATGCTCAAGTGTCACTCTCCAGGACTCAGACGGAAAAGGCCAACTTAACTTTACCATCTGATAATCCAGTCGCAAACAGCTCTCTCACCTTCCTGCCGGACATTGTTATATACTAAAGTGGCAACTAAATATTTAATTCAGAGCTGGGCGTGGTGGTGCATACCTCTGCACATATCCCAGCACTCAGGAGGCAGAGGCAGCAGGACAGCCAGGACTACACAGAAAAACCCTATCTCAAAACAGCAACAATAAAATCCCCACCGAAAATAAATAACCCAAACAAAATAAGTAAGTAAAACTTTAGTCCATAATTAAAAATATATAAGTTTAATTCCTTCAAACCGAAGAAATGTAGCGGAGTAAGTACAACACATTATCATGATTCTGTAGTAGTTCTAAAATACATTAGGCAAATTTCTTACTCCCCCTTACTTTGAACAGAATCTTTAGTCTTGTGTTGCGGGTCAGCAACTTAAAAGTACAAGGGAAATAAAAGGTAACTTGGAACAGCATGAATGATTACCAGGAGGAAACTAACAAAATTCCCAAGAAACCCTATTTATTTATTTATTTATTTATTTATTTATTTATTTATTTATTTTTGAGAAGCCCTCTTTTGAGTTGTTGACCAGGGCTGTCCAAGAGGTTCCCAAAGCATACAGTCTATTGCGGCTGCTCGTGGTTATATCCTACCCCCAGAGGTGGGAGCATGCTAAAGACAGCTAAAGATACCATGCACTTCCAAAAACAGGGCCAGTCTACAAAGTGAGTTCCAGGATAGCCAGGACTACACAAGAGGAAAAAAAAATCAACTAATTATTTTTAAAAATGGGCTAGAGGGGCTTAGGGGCTTAGCAGGCTCACAATAAAAAACAAAAACAAACAAATAAAACCCCAGAACTCAGACAGGTGTAATAGCTGGTACCTTTAATCCTAGCACTGGCCAGATCTCCTGTGAGTTCAAGGCCATCTTGGTCTATATAATGAGTTCTAGAACAGTCAGGGCTGTAGACAGACAGTCTACATGGTAAGGCTATCTCAAAAAAGGAAAAAACTGAACTACAGTCAGGCATACACCTAATGTCAGCACTCTGGGAGGCAGAGGTAGGAAGATTTGTCTGCTCTACAGAGCAAGTTCCAGGATAGCCAGGGTTACTTTAGGAGATCCTGTCTGGAACAAACCGAAGAGTTGTGTAAACTCTGTCTTTACAGTCTCTCACGACCACCATGAAGGCACACTGCATGGTCAGTACGGGTGCTATCGGTACCACGATCTCACAAGCCTTAATCCCAACCCTGGGAACACAAGGCAGCAGGGTTCTGCAAGCCTGGGGAGAAGTGACCCTACTTCAGAAGGTCAAAATAAAATAAAACTCTAATCTCCGGGGCTGGAGAGATGGCTCAGAGGTTAAGAGCACTGTCTGCTCTTCCAGAGGTCCTGAGTTCAATTCCCAGCAACCACATGGTGGCTCACAACCATCTGTGATGAGATCTGGCGCCCTCCTCTGGCATATGGGTATAAATGGAGGCAGAAAGTTGTTGCGTAACAAATAAATAAATCTTAAAAAAAAAAAAAAACTCTAATCTCCTTATCAAAGACTTTATTTGAGACAGGGTCTCTTTAAGTTGCACAGGCTGGTCTTGAACTCAGAGAGCCACCTGCCTCTGCCTCTCAGCCCTGTGCACACCACACTGGCTCCATTAAAAACTCTTAGAAGTGTGTAACTTTCTCTGACAACTCAACAGCTACCAACAGTTGTTTCAAATAGTAATCAAAATGGAAAGACATGAAAACTAAATTAAATAAAGGACATAACCCACATTATCAAACTAGGAAGATGGCTAAGGAACTTATCACTGAGCCTAACAACCTGCCTTCAATCCCTAGGATTCCATAAGGTGGAAGGAAAAGGACTTTCACAAGTCATCCTGTGACCCCACAAGTGCAACCACATACAATAAAAATGCAATTAAAAATTCTTTTAAAGGGTCATGCACGCCTTTCCCCAGTACTCAGGAGGCAGAGGCAGACAGATCTCTATGAGTTCAAGGCCAGCCTGGTCTACAGAGCAAGTTCCTGACAGCCAGAAAATGTTATGCAAAGAAACTGTCTCAAAAAAACAAAATAAAAAAATGTGCTGGAGTCAGGTATGATGCATGGCTTTCTCTCTTTCTTTTTTATATATTTATATCCTTTACTTAAAAATAAACAATACACTTAGGCCACAAAAATTGAATATCATGATTAGTTTTTCCATCCCGACTACACAAAAGAAACTTCTTACACAATAAAAATAAGCACTTGGATTTACATCAATTGATAGAACTAAAATTTAAAGGACCTGAACTGAATATCACACAATCTGGCCCAGGCCCCGCCAGCTAAGAGAAAAGGTTATAGGGACTTAAGGGACAGAACTCATGTCAGGCGTCTTTCCTCTCAGAACCATCTCAATCCCTGAAACGTATTAAGAATGAGAAAGTTTAAAAAGAACAAATGGTGCATGCCTGTAATCTTAAGATAGCAGAGGGAGTATTGAGAGTTTGAGGCTAGCCTGAACTACAGACTAAAAAAAAAAAAAAAAAAAGGAAGAAAACAGCAACAACAACTACAACAACAAAACCCAACGTTTTTGGCCCAGGGATGTAGCTCAGTTCACGGAGACGAAATCAATCTCTAAGTTCTACGCCTGCACATGTAAGACCTGGGCACAGCAGCACATGCCTATATTCACAGCACTCATCCAGGGTTGCACAGAGTTTGAAGCCAATCTAGGATACTTGGGCCTCGGTCTCACAGAAACACACAAAAGTTAATTTCGGGCTTTTGGATTATGGAAGTTTAATTTATAACTTGATTTAACTGATCCACTCAAGCTCTCTGCTTCACCACTAAAAATGTGGCACTTGAAAAATCAAAGCCTTTGGACCTGTGAGATGGCTCTGCCCTTTCCGGGCTTATGAAACTTGGTGCAGGCTGCCAGACCCAAGGCCGTGCTCATGTTAGCTGGTGCTACCTCTTCTGCCCTTTCAAACTCCATAAAAAATAACAAAGAGCAACAACGATGCCATCACTGCTTTCATTAGGCTGACACTCACATCTTGATTATATTCCAAGAAGACGTGGAAATTCAAATCCTTTCTCAAAATAGGATGTGCTGCCACACGGCACAGGAACACCTCATGCATTGCGACTGTCTTCTTGAAAATCGCCAGATATTCACTAGAAACAACATAAAATTAAAAGTGAACAATGGCATAAACGAGAAGTCATCCCAGCAATTATTCTCCGGAGCATTCTAAATGTAAACCAGGAAGGCAGAGACATAATTCATATCAACAGAGCTTTTAGTTGAACAGTTTAGTAAAAATGAAAAACTCATTTCTGAAACAGCCTCATGCTACTTTATTTTAGTCTTTATTGTATCTAAATGTTAATATCAAGTCTTACAAACTTTTCTATTATGCAAGTTTATGTTAGGTCACTATTGGGGTATTTGTTTTTTAGCTCTAGAAAAATGATTCGATACAACCTCAATAACTCGAATTTTATATAATCATTGCCTTAAGACAAAAATCTCAATCATATTTTCAGTGTTAATAATTATTTTCAGTGGTTAAGAGCATTGCCTGCTCTTCCAAAGGTCCTGAGTTCAATTCCCGGCAACCACATGGTGGCTCACAACCATCTGTAAAGAGGTCTGGTGCCCTCTTCCGGCCTGCAGGCATACATGCAGAAAGAATATTGTAAACATAATAAATAAATATTAAAAAAAATAATAATTATTTTCATATTTTAACCTAAGTATGTGAGAAAAAAACAACCACAGAGCAACTATTTCTATTGAAGAAATGTGTTTAAGATATATTATCAATGAATCCCAGCAACCATATAGCAGCACACAACAGTTGTATGTGTATGTGTGCGTGGGGGGGAACCAAAAGGAAAAAGCCTGATATTCTTGCTTCAACTTCGTGCATGAAGCATAAGTTTTACATACCCGCACACCAGCAGGCTCAGTGTGGGGAGCAGTTTGATCTCTGTGAGGGTAGCCATCAGTGCAGACAAAAGAGAAGGGTGCAGAGGATGGAGATGGCAGTGGGACAAACCCAAGGCTCTCTGTTATCCAACCCCTAACCAGACCACAAAAGAACCACGATCAGGGCCACTGAAAACAGGGCCTGCAGAATAATGTGCTCTGCCAATTTCCAGCACCCAGTCTTCTCAGCATTAATTACATTATTCTATGAGACTACTGCTGTATCCGAACCGACTGAACGTTAACGTGTCATTTTACACTTTAACAAAGACCTAGCTTATGCATTTACCTTTTCACAGCAACTTCTTAGCATTTAGTAGCATATGAATAGATGCTTGAAAAAATAAAACAAAAAAAGTAAAGAAAATGCACAAGGGAAAAATGGCCAGCAAAAGAGAAATGGAGGTGACAACACAAGAAAATTTACTCCCTTGGACAACTCCCAGCACACTGACGAGGCCCTTGAGTATTCTTTCCCTCACATGGCCCGCCATCACTGCTTTCCTCTTTTAACTGTGTGTGCACACGCGCATCATGTGTAGGGTCGGAGGACAACGTGAAGAGTCAGTCAGTCCTCTCTCTCTGCCCTGTGTGAGCTCTGGGGACTCAAGTGCTCTGCCTGCTGAGCCACCCCATTCCCAGCAGTGTCTCAGTGTATCTCTGATCTGTAGTTATGTCCTCTTTTGGTTTTTGCTTATTTTTTTAGACAGAGTTTCTCTGTGAAGCCCTGGTTGTCCGGGAACTCACTCTGTAGACCAGACCTTAAACTCAGAGATTTACTTGCCTCTGCCTCCTAAGCCACCACTGCCTGTCTGCTTTCCCTTTCTTTATGAATAAAGTTTTCTTGCTACTTTGAAAAAGTAAAATTAAAAACCAAAAAAGATCCAGAAACCTAACAGGTATCTTTGTTGCAAGCAGCTGGGTAGCGCTCTGAGATCACATATCAGATTGATGCTAACCATCATAAGAATTAAGATAATAGGCTCACAGGTTAAGAGCACTGACTGCTCTTCCGGAGGTCCTGAGTTCAATTCCCAGCAACCACATGGTGGCTCCTAGCCATCTGTAATGAGATCTGGTGCCCTCTTCTGGCCTGCAGGCATACATGGAGGCTGAACACTGTGTACGTAATGAATAAATAAATCTTAAAAAAAAAGAATTAAAATAATTTTCATACCTCCCAAAAGTAGAAAGTTCCAAAGTTTAATAAAAGAAGAAGAAAGTCGGGCGGTGGTGGCACACGCCTTTAAATTCAGCACTTGGGAGGCAGAGGCAGGATCTCTGTGAGTCAAGGCCAGCCTGATCTACAAAGCAAGTTCCAAGACAGAGTTGTTACATAGAGACTCTGTACTGAAAAAAAAAAACAAAAAAGAAAGTTATGTTCCCTTCCTAATATTCTAATAAGGTTTCAGACCCCTCAATCTTCAGAGTCTATTTAAATAATTTAAAGTTCCGACAGTGACAGGAGACAACTGTCTGACCCTTTAACACAGGCTGTTATGACTTAACCTGGGTATTTCAGTCAGTACAGTGAAATGGTTAGAAGAATGAATATCAGAGAGCTCAGAAAGGCATTAAAGCAAAGCTAAGGAGACTAACAAAACCCCGTCACATACGCTTCCAGCTCCTGCTTCATCTTGGTGAACTCTTCCTTTGTCATCGACCCTTCCCCTTCTCCAAGCTTCTGCAGTTTTTCCCGTGAAGCATCAAAGTCAGGTCTTGGTGGTGCTGGTGGGATCTACAATAAACCAAAAAGTTACCTGTAAGGAACCATTTCTCTAACATTGTTTTAGGTGTGCACATGCACACAGGCCCAAGCATGTGCAGTGGTCAGAGAAGACACTGCAGGACTCGGTTCTCCCCTCCCACCATGTGGGACCCAGGGATCAAACTCAGGTTTTCAGGGCTTGGTGGCAGACATGACTACACCCAGTGAGCCATCGACGGCTCTAAGTGATGTCTTTCAGCACTGTACCACACTATCTGAAGATGGCGGTTCCGGTACTCGGGAGGCTGAAGTAGAATGGCCGCAAATTTGAGACCAACCTGCCCTACCTAATACTTCTGAGGACAGCCTTGATTACAAAGTGAAACCCTGCCTCAAACAACAGAAACACAATGCTGGCCTACTGGCCGGGCAGCGGTGGCGCACGCCTTTAATCCCTGCACTCGGGAGGCAGAGGCAGGTGGATCTCTGTGAGTTCGAGACCAGCCTGGTCTACAGAGCTAGTTCCAGGACAGGCTCCAAAGCCACAGAGAAACCCTGTCTCTAAAAACCAAAAAAAAAAAAAAAAAAAAAAAAAACCCACAAATGAATTAAGAACCAGAAATACCAAAATTGAGATTAGGAAACTTTGTAAAACTAGTTTTAAAAATCAAAATCTGTGGGTTCCTTTATATCAAGGAAGAAATATAGTATAACACTGTTTTATTAGTTGTAGCACTGGATGGCCTACAACTTGCAGCAAACCCTCTCACCTCACCCCTCCAAGTGCCCAGCTCCCCTAGTACTGTTTTATTTTGGCACTGGGATAGTTCTTGAGTGGAGACACGGCCCAGGGATAAAGCACTGCAGAGCAAAGCCTTATGGGTTCAGTTCTTATCCCATGTACACGCCAGACACAGCGGCACACACCTGCAATCCCACGTATATGCTCCACACACAAACATGTTATACACATAAACGTTAAAATTGTCAAAATTTAAGACATGTCAGATGGTAGCAGTGCGCGCCTTTAATTCCAGCACTCAGGAGGCTCTCTGTGAGTTCGTGGCCAGCCTGGTCTACAGAGTGAGTTCCAGGACAGACTCCATAGCTACTAAGAAACCCTGCATCGAAAAATCAAAAATAAACAAACAAACGAATTAATTAATTAATTAGACAGTTCTAGCCAGGTGTACACCTGGTGCACAACTTTAACTACAGAACGCAAAGATACTAAGGCAGAGATCTCTGGGTTTTCAAGGTTACCTTGGTCTACATAGGGAGTTCTAGGTCAGCTACAACTACATAGTGCTGGGAAACAGAGGCAGGCAGATGGATCTCTGTAAATTCAAGGCCAGTCTGCTCTTCAGAGTTCCAGGACAGTTAGGGCTATCACAGAGAAACCCTGTCTTGAAAAGCTAATGAATAAACAAACAAAACAGGTAGTTCTCAAGCCAGGAGTAAAGGACCATATAATCCCGTATTGGGCAGTTGAGGCATGAGGCAACCACGGGCAGCTTAGTAAGAACCTATCTCAAAATAAAACACAAATGAGCTGCGGGGCTGGCAGGATGGCTCAGAGGGTAAAGACAATTAACAGAAAGCCCGATTACCTAAGTATTTTCTATGGAACCCACATGGTGGAAGAAGAAAACTTACTCCTACAAGTTGTTTTCTGAATTATGGGTATGCTCATACACAAACAATAAACATAGAGTTTAACACGGGCCAGCCAGGGCTGCAAGTGAAGCCCTGTTTCAAAAAAAAAGGAAAGAAAAAAAAAAGAAAAGGAAAAAATGTAAGATGCTTAGTGATTAATAAATCACATGAAATTTTTTTTCAACTAAAAAAAAAAAACAAAACAAAACAGCAGCAACACACATCTATAATCCACACAAAACAGAGGAAGGAAGATCAGCCTAAGGCCAGTTCCAGCTCCTTATGGAGTTCCAGGCCAGCCTGGATTACAGTAACACCTCAGCTCAAACACACACACACACACACACACAATATTAAAAACAAGGAAACAGCCAATTGTAGTACACACCAAAAATAGGTGATGGCGCACGCCTTTAATCCCAGCACTTGGGAGGCAGAGGCAGGAGGATCTTTGTGAGTTCGAGGCCAGCCTGGTCTACAAGAGCTAGTTCCAGGACGGGCACCAAAAACTACAGAGAAACCCTGTCTCGAAAACAAAAACAAACAAACAAACAAAAAAAAAAGTAGCTCACAAGTATATAACCAATCTTGGAAGGTTGAGGCATGAGGATAAGGACAGCAAATCGAAGGATAGAAAGGAGGAACAAGAAAGAGTTCAAAGCCAGGATTCTCCACACAGCAAACCCAACTCAGCTTTGGTCATATGAGATTTTGATTCAAAAGGCAGTGTTTGTGCTGTCCTGGGAAGCAGATAGTGTTTTTTTTTGTTTGTTTGTTTTCTGGTTCCGAGACAGGATTTCCCTGTGTAGCCCTGACTGTCTGGAACTCACTCTGCAGACCAGGCTGGCCCTGCACACAGGGCAGATGGTGCCTTCTTGTTCAGCCCTCAGAGAAGCTGATGAAAACACAGAGACCCACACCTGGACGATGCACAGAGAGTGAGAGACCGAGGCACGCCCGATCCTAACATGGGATGCTTATCAAATCCCTCCTCTCAGGGCTCAGGGAACTGTATGAAAGAGGAGCCTAGAAGACTGAAGAGCCAGGGGACATGGATGACAAAGGGAAACAAGGCCCGCACAGGCCAGATGGGGTCCCAGTGGTGAGAGGAGGAAGTAGACAAGAACTCCCACCTTAACCCAGAAGCCACCTCTAGTTGATAAACTCTTGGAAAGGAAAAATAATTTTTCTCCAATGGGTCTCATTAGGTATACAAACCACGCTTAAGTGCAGGTCTAAGTGCAGCAGGAGATGGCCAACACAAAAGGAACTCAAGGGTATTTTTAGAGATTTTTTTTTAGTGTGTGTGTGTATGTGTGTGTGTGTGTATCTTATAATGTTTTGTCTGGGCATTTTTTTTAACTGGTCTTTTGCTTATATGGTTTCCAATCCATGTGTATCCATGTCTGTGTGTGTTTCTCATGCCCCACCCCCCTTCATTTGTTGTTTTACTTGCCTGTTTGTTTTCTAAAGAGAAAGAGAAAGAAGGTGTGAGGCTGGATGGGTGGGAAGGTAGAGAGGATCTGGGAGATAATGGGAAACTATGATTAGAATAGATTGCATTAAAAAAATCCATTTTCAGTTTTAAAAAAGCCCAAATACATAGATATTATCATTAAACTTTTCAATGAACAAAACTGATGTGCATTCTCGTTTTGCCTGTATGTCTGCACACCATATGTGTGCCCTCTACTGTTCAGAGGCCAGAAGAAGGCACTGGGTCCCTGATGATTGTGAGGTGCCGTGTGGGTGCTGGGAACTGAACCTGGGTCTTCTACAAGAGCAGCAAGTGCTCCAAACTGCTGAACCATCTGTCCAGACCCCTAAATAAAAAACATTTAAAGATAAAAATTGCTATGAGAAAAGGGACAAGGTAAGAGAGCAGCAGGGCTCAGCAAATACTCACTGAGCAGCTGATACAGCAGGCACAATGGCAAACAAGGGTATATAAAAATAAGACAGTCTTAATTGATGAGGAATATTTAGCTTAATTGATAAAGTAGAAAAAAAATGCATCATCACAAAGAAAGAAAGTGGGGGAAAAAGAGCCTTTGGTCAGTCCCCAAACCTGAGCTACAGAAAAACATGACTCAAGGAGGTGCTGGCCTCAGGATGGAGACACAGGCAGCCCATGATAGCCCCAGGGAAATCATAAATTTCAGGACTGAATGTGCTCAACAGCTGAGGAAGAATAGCCACTTACTCTTGATCACAACTTTTTCTTTTTTTATTCAAGAAAGGGTTTCTATGTGTAGCTTTGGTGCCTGTCCTGGAACTAGCTCTTGTAGACCAGGCTGACCTCGAACTCACAGAGATCTGCCTATCTCTGCCTCGGGATTAAAGGCGTGTGCCACCACCTGATCTTATGGAGCCTTCCAACCTCTAAGTTTCTGTCCACTTAAGCATCCAAAAACAAGTACAGTAACATTCCTCAATTAATTACCTACTCCAATACTAATTATCCTGTTTAGAAGGGCTCCTGCCTATAACCCTAACACTTGAGGCAGAATGGCAGAATCTCTACTGTAGCAGGTTCAAGGTCAGCCTACAGAACAGACAACAGGGCAAGACTCTAATTTGAATAAACAAAAAAGAATTCAAGGTTAAGCAAAAAAAAAGTATAACCGTTTTCAAAGTAAGACAAGACAGCTCAGGATAAGAAGTGGTAGCCAGTGCCTAGTAACTGGCATTTTTACAAATCACATCAGTTACTAAAAATGCTAAACAAAACCACATGAGTTTCTAAAACGTTCTTAGAAAATGAAAACTTGGACTGAAGAGATGGCTAGCAGTAAAGACAGAGAGTTAGTTCTTGTGGAGGAGCCAAGATCAGGCCCTAATACTGGTGGGTGGCTCACAACCACCTCTAACTCCAGCTCCAAGGGCATCTGATGCCTCTGGCCTCCATAGGCACCTGTGCTGACTTGCACACAGACACACATATACATAATTTTTAAAAGGGCTAGAGAGATGGCTCAGCAATTTGGTGCTCTTCCACAGGACCTGGTTCCTAGTACCCATGTTAGGCAGCTCAACAATTTCGTGTAACTCAACTTCACAGTGTCTCTTCTGACCTGTGTGGACACCGCCCCCCCACACCTATATGCATGCACATTAAAAAAAGAAAGAAAAATCTTAAGAAAACGAAACCAAATACTCACAATGTAACCTGCATAGTCTTCATTTTCAACGAAGGAATCATGAAGCCAGATAAATTCCTCATGTTGTCGAACGACCGAAAATTCATTTTGTTTAAAATTTGGCAACGAGCTCTGTAAAGACAGCAATTTTCTTGAATAAAAGTAAAATTATCCTTGGATCTTGTACTGTTATCATCACTTAAAAGTTATACTATTAGCTGGGTGTGGTGGCACTCACCCAGAAGTCAAAAAGCAGAGGCAGACAGATCTCTGGGAGCTGAGGCCAGCTTGGTCTACGCAGGGAGTTCCAGGCCAGTCAGAGTACATAGTGAGATAGATGGATGGATAGGCAGGCTGACACACACACACACACACACCTAGAAATTACATTTATATCTAGTTTCTGTGTTAATTCCTAAAATCATAAGTAACTTCTCCAGCCTGGTCTGCACAGCCAGTTTCCAGAGGCAGAATTACACATCTCAAAAAAAAAAAAAAAAATAAATAAAAAAATTAACTTCCCTAAGTTTGTTTGCTAAAACAGCAGTCAATTTAAGTCAAAATTTGAGTTCCACCCAATATATTACACAAGTAACAGCATTTTTTAAAAATATTTATTTATTTATTATGTATACAATATTCTGTCTGTGTGTATGTCTGCAGGCCAGAAGAGGGCACCAGACCTCATGACAGATGGTTGTGAGCCACCATGTGGTTGCTGGGAATTGAACTCAGAACCTTTGGAAGAGCAGGCAATGCTCTTAACCACTGAGCCATCTCTCCAGCCCCCAAGTAACAGCATTTTTAAAGAAACACAAAACACTCCCACTTTACCTTCGTGTGAACAGTGAACTTGACCTTATCCCTTTCACTGAGAGCATCCGAAATGTCCACTTGCAGAGCAGCATCACTTTGGAGATCGACATTTATTGCTTTAAGCTAAAACAGAGAAAGCACATTGTAAAGAAAATTTGTCTCAAGCTGAGTGGTGGTGGCGCACGCCTTTAATCCCAGCACCCAGGAGGCAGAGGCAGGTGGATCTCTGTGAGTTCGAGGCCAGCTCTACAGAGCTAGTTCCAGGACAGGCCCCAAAGCTACGGAGAAACCCTGTCTCGAAAAAACAAATAAATAAAATGCAAAAAAAAAGAAGAAGAAGAAAATCTGTCTCTATTTTATGTAGATGCGCCTGAGCGTACATTTGCGTCACATGCATGAAGGAGCCCACAGGGTCAGAGGAGGATGGAAGATCCCCTTGGAACTGAACGAGGGTCCTGTACAAGAGCAGTAAGTGGTCTTAACCGATGAGCTGTCTTTCCTTTTTAAAAGACAGATACATTGGCCTCAAACTTGTGACCCTTCTGTCTTCTCCTTCTGAGGGCTGGAATTAAAGGTATGCGTCACCAAACCTGGCTCTGTATACTCTTAATGTAATTTCATTTTTCTTCCATAATAAAAGAACACAAGGCCAAAACAGAAAGATCAGGCCATGAGCTCTCCTGTAGTCCCCACACAAGGACACTGAGGCAGAATCATAAATACAAGACCAGTTTGGATTACATAGCTAGATCCCATCTTAACCTCCACCATCAAAAAATGTAAGGAACCTTTCTACTTTTTAGCTTGTTTTTTAACTCATGCCCAAGCTGCTTTTAAAATAACTACTGTATCAGGTTGGCTAATGGCCCCTAAAAGTATCTCTATCCAAACCTGCAATCTCTGAATGGGCCGTATGCAGCCAAGAGGCCTTGGCAGATCTGATTCAATTGAGAGTTCTGAGATGAGGTTTTCCTGGCTCATCTAGGTATACCTTAAATCTATAAGGACAACAACCCAACGTGGTGGGCCCAGCACTCGAGGCAGAAGTGGGTAGAGCTCTGTAAGTTAGAGGCAGGCTGATTTACAGATCAAGTTTCAAGCCACAATGGCTATACAGTTTTGAGATATTGTAAACAGGACCAACCAGTTCAACCGAGAGAAAGCAGCGTGACTGCAAAGAACAAAGCACTACAGCCACCAGCAAGGACTGACTGATGGCTGCTACTTCCAGGTTGAAAAGAAAAAAAACCCTACAGGACTCTGGAGGGGACTATACCTGGGTTAATGCTGATTTATTTATTTGTTTATATTTTATCTGAGAGCTCTGCGTGTTTACCTGCCGGCCAGAAGAGGGCACCACAGATGGCTGTGAGCCACCATGTGGATGCTAGGAATTGAACTCAGGTCCTCTGGAAGAGCAGCCAGGGCTATCAACCACTGAGCCATCCCTCCAGTCCCTACGGCTCATTTCTAACTTCCAGGATTATGAGAATAAACTGTTGTTTAATCCATTTATGGTAATTTGTTACAACACCCAGAGCAAACTAGTATATCAATCATATAGTTTTTGGAATAAATTTACATTTCTCTATTTTACTTTTTTTAACCTGCGGGCACACACACAAAAGCATAAACTGTGGGTGAGTGGGGTGGAGTGGGGTAGGGTGTCAGTCAGGGTTGATCTCGGCACATGGTAAGCAAGGGCTCTACTACTGAGCTACATCTCCAGCTCACATTTCATCTGTCCTGTCTTCAATGCCTAGATTAGCCTGTCCCAAACACAATTGATAAAAACCAAACTGATTACCAGGTGTAATCCCACGGACAAAGGTACAACAGCAGGGAGTTTAGGCCGGCTTAGATTACATACTGAGCAATGGGCCAGCCTGAGCGCCCATACAGGACCCTGTCCCAGAAAACAGATTACTCCGGATTGTTGATGTTTTCTTTCACTTCCCCTTTCTATACTAAATACAATGCCCTTTGCCTATCACACAATGAATATAGTTCAGTGATTCCCAGTCTTCCTAATGTTATAACCCTTTAATACAGTTCCTCACACTGTGGTGACCCCAACCATAAAATTATTTCTTTGCTGCTATTATAAATCATAATGCAAATATCTGTGTTTTCTGATGGTCTTAGGCGACCTGTGAAAGGATTGTTCAACCCCCAAAGGGGTCTCAACCCACAGATTGAGAAATACAGATTTAGTCTATAATTCAAATTTTTAGATAGAGTTTACATATAATATGTAAGTTTTAAAATTAATTTGAGGGGCTAGAAAGATGGCTCAGATTAAAAGCACTGGCTATTCCTCCAGAGGTCCTGAGTTCAATTCCCAACAACCACATAGTGGCTCTTAACCACCTGTAATGAGATCTGGTACCCTTTCCTGGTATGCAGGCAGAGCACTGTATACATAGTAAATAAATAAATCTATTAAAAATAATTTGAAGTCTTAACAAGTAACATATTGCAAAACGTCAAACTGAGATAATGGACATTTCTATTACTTCCAGAGAGCCCCGTAGTTTCTCTTTAACAAACTTTTCTGCTTTTGGTTCTTGTGTGTGGCTTATGCCTACGTAGGGAAAGGCTTGTGCTGTGAAGAGCAAATGTCAATGTCAAGTGTCATCCTCTGTCACTCCTCACTATATTTTGTTTTGCTTGAGATAAGGTATCACTGTATAACCCGGGATACAGTGGAACTTGCAATCCAGATCAGGCTGGCCTCTCCCTCCCAAGAGCTAGGATTAAAGGAATATGACACTATACCCAGCTCATAATTTTCGAGATAGAATCTCTCACCAAACCTGAAGCTGGCAGTTTCAGCCAGCCTGGATGCTCAACCACCTCCTGGGATCCGCCTGTGTCCAGCTCCCCGGTACTTAGTCACAAACATATACTGCCATGTCACACGTGTTTTTCAGCAGGCTCTGAGGGTCTGAGCTGAGGTCCTCATGCTTGTGTAGCCAACACTCACATGGTCATCCCCCAGTCCTAGTTCTCGACTTTCGAACATTTCTGTTACTTCTTTTTTCATAACTTATTAAAGCATTCTATATTTTACTAATGCCTTAACAGTTATTAATTCAATCTATCATGTCTTTTTCACTCTTTTAAAAGCAGAGTTCATTACCCATTCCAAAAATAAAACCTAGTTCTAGAGTTGATCTTAGAAAGTACATACCAGTTGGGTGTTGGTGCGCACCTTTGATCCCAGGACTTGGAAGGCAGAGGCAGATGAATCTGACTGAGTTCAAGGCCAGCCAGGTCCAGGGCTACATAGAGAAACCCAGACTTGAAAAACTATGGGCTGCGGGCGGGGACAGGTGGAGTACGAAGCAATCTCCAGTGCTGAAAGGGTTTTCAGCTCTTCATGACACAAAGAGAACCCCCTGACTTCTTTCATGTATATATCATCAGCATTACAAAATATCAGCCAGAGTGTTCCTTCTAATTCTTCCTATAATTAGTTTCTACATTCACCTACACCTCAAGAATGACTTCCCAGTTCCTGAGCATACAGAAAAGCAGACATAAAGAATTATTTTGCTTGACAGTAAGTTGCACTTTACATATATAAGACTTTTTTCTTTTTCTTTCGGTTTTTCGAGACAGGGTTTCTCTGTAGCTTTGGAGCCTATCTTGGAACTAGTTCTTGCAGACAAGGCAGGCCTCAAACTCAGAGATCCACCTGCTTCTGCCTCCCAAGTGCTGGGATTAAAGGCATGCACTACCACTGCCCAGCAAGACTTGTTTCTTTTTTCAATTCCTGTTAATAATAAACAAGATAAATAACATAAAAGCCAGTCTCTACAATGAAATTCCCTGCTTCCTTACCTCAGGTGGCAATCTATTATAAAGTGAAATCCCTCCCACATCAGCATAAAGTTTCACTGAAAGTCTGTTTGCTAAATTGCTTCAATGCATTTTCCCCCTGGTTTTTGAGACAGGGTTTCTCTGTACAGCCCTGGCTGTTCAGGAACTCACTCTGTAGACCATGCTGGCCAACTCAGTATCTGCCTCACAAGTGCTGGAATTAAAGACGTGCACCACCACCTGGTATTCAGTGCATTTTTTGTTTGTTTGTTTGTTTGAGACAGGGTTTCTTTTTTGTTTGTTTTTATTGAGCTTCTCCACCCCACTCCTTTCCTCTCCCCTCCCCTTCTACCCTCTCCCAAGGTCCCCATGCTCCCAATTTACTCAGGAAATCTTGAGACAGGGTTTCTCTGTACAGCCCTGGCTGTTCAGGAACTCACTCTGTAGACCATGCTGGCCAACTCAGTATCTGCCTCACAAGTGCTGGAATTAAAGACGTGCACCACCACCTGGTATTCAGTGCATTTTTTGTTTGTTTGTTTGTTTGAGACAGGGTTTCTTTTTTGTTTGTTTTTATTGAGCTTCTCCACCCCACTCCTTTCCTCTCCCCTCCCCTTCTACCCTCTCCCAAGGTCCCCATGCTCCCAATTTACTCAGGAAATCTTGAGACAGGGTTTCTCTGTAGCTTTTAGACCTGTCCTGGAACTGTCTCTATAAACCTGGCTGGCCTCAAACTCAGAAATCCACCTGCCCTGACTGCATGTGTCACCACTGCCCAGCTTCAGTGCATATTTTTATGATTTACCATACTAAAATAGGCCTTTCAGTTAATGACAAAACTACATTTTAACTATATTTTTTTGTATTACACTAAAAATTTTCAGTCACCTTCACTTAGACTGTATAAAGCATTCTACTGTAAATTTAATGTTAATTACATAAATTATACAGATTTCTCAGGAACTCTTTTTCCATTCCGGGAGCAGGGGGAGCTAAGGTTTTTGTTTTTTTTTTTTTTAAATATTTATTTATTTAGTATACAGTGTTAGTTTCCATGTCTGCCTACAGGACAGAATAGGGCACCAGATCTCATTATAGATGGCTGTGAGCCACCATGTGGTTGCTGGGAATTGAACTCAGGACCTCTGGAAGAACAGTCAGTGTTCTTAACCTCTGAGCCATCTCTCCAGCCTGGGAGCTAAGGTTTTATTAAGGGAAAGACTTAATGCAGACAACCTGCGATTATCAACATTTAATTAAACTTTCGCAATTAGTGAGTTCAGTTTGAAGAACTTCTT